GTTGACTGAATTGGCTTTATCTTAGTGGCTTACAAGGGCAAACATTGTACCATATAAAGGAGCAGTCACTGGGAGGGTTTCAGGAAGGGATGAGTCTCTCCAGTTAAAGCCTGGCCATTTGTTGTTGAGTTTTTATCCAAGGTTAAGGTTCCTAGGCTCTTCCTTGACCAATAGGTTATTCAGAACTGAGTTACAGTATCAGTCTGACTAATACTGATTAGCCAAGATGGGGAGCTGACTTCTTTCCCAAGCATTGTAAGGACCGCACTTTGGTAAATTATAGCAGGCCAACCAAATGTTTGCTCTGTTTTGTAGATCAAGGGTTGGGTACATCAGGCTCAGGGACCATATGTGCCCCTCCAGGCCTTGGGGTTCTCCTCAGCCCAATCATATGCCCTCCTGTATCCAGACACCTCTCCCCTCAGGCCATACCCCCAGCCAGCCCTGTTCCGTGTCCTCAAGTGTTTTTGCCTAAGGTGGTGTCCTTGCCTTGAATTTTGAAAGTGCCTTTTGCTTACCTGGCTGAAGATAGAGGGAGATGTGGATATAAAAGTCTCTGGGTTTTGCTTGGCCAGAATGTAGCTTGGAATATCTTGTCCAAAGGTCAGACTGCACATCCCTTTTCTATACCCCCAGAAATTGCCCTTGAGGGAATCTAGCCCTCCCTCCCTGCTGCTGTTGTAGATGATCTTGCCATGAAAGAACAAGTGGAATATGAATTCTTCGGCACACAATACAGACAGAAGAGTTATTTCTCATATCTAGTTAAACTGAGACTCTGATGATTTATTCTGCCGATTTAATAGCCACAAGGGATGGGAATGATTAAAACTTTAATAATGTATAATGCCGAGCCTCTGTACAAAGTCAACACTGTGTCATCAAGACCCCTCTTGTTTCCAATAAACTTGATCACACAATAGGAAGCATTCTGAGCTCTTATGGGAGGAATTGAAAAAATAGGAAACACTAAAATAGGAAACATGAAGGCCAAGGAAGCCAAACTTAGTAGCAGTGTATCACTAAGTACATTTCTTTTATCTGTGTAGTAGCTATTTGGAACTTGGTAGCTTGCAGACGTTTTTGCGACCCAAACCTAAATCAATGCAAAATGTTGCCTATCCTGTTTTGGATCTTACAGAAATAATAACATAAAGTGCCTAAAATTGCTTGGTGCTGTACAAACCTTAAAAATAATGCACAGCCACCCCAAGGCCAAAGGAAGCTGGTCCGGTAGGACAAATGGGGCAGTGCCCCACCAACTGCAGTCTGCCCTTTGCCAGTCCCCAACTGCCTAACATCCTATTGCCCAATAGTCCCTGCCTGTCATTCGCTTTGTCTCCACCTCCTGTTGATCTCCCTGTCTTCCTATTGGTTCCATTGGACACCAGGCCCCATTGCCATAGGCCAGGGGTCTGCAACCTTTAAGACAAAAAGAGCCGAAGAAAAAAACAACTGGGAGCCGCAAAACCATTGCGACATTTAAAACAGTGGGGAGTGTCAGGGCACACAATGCGCCTCCTCCCCTTGCTAGTATCCGCCCCGGAGCCGCGGCAAAGGTGTAAAAGAGCCACATGCGGCTCCGGAGCCGCGGGTTGCTGACCCCTGCCATAGGCTTATCATCTGAAGCTTCCTGGAACTGGGATTTTCCAGAGCAGATGCTGTAACTAAAGTCTACATAAAACAAATGTAGGAAAAAGAGACTCCTTATGTTATCCTGCTGCTTTTGCAAATGTTTTATTGCATCATATTTTTTCGGGGGGTGGGGGTGGGTGGGACCCATTACTGTTCCCAAGACAGGAATATGCACATTTGCTTTTTATGTTGTGGCTCATAAATGTGCAGTCTCAATACTGTAGTCTTAGCTGGGAAATCTGCATAATCAGGATGTATCCAAGGGAACCAATTTAAGCTTAAGGATGCTTTTAAGAGAAATGATTGTAGTGTTGATTAGAATGGTAGCTCTTCTCAGTTGGGAAGCCTTCATTTGATTTACCATCCCTTGAAGTGCTTGAGTTCTCAGGCCCATTCAGATTTTTGTCTTTATTAGTGTGTTAACCATTTATGCGTTATTGGGCTCGTGTTTGTTCAGATACTGAGTTAACATAGAAGTATATGCTTGAAAGGATACTGAGGTAGGAGGGGAGCTAATGGGTTGTATTCTGCAGGCTTCACCAGTCTGGTGCCATCCAGATTTTTGGATCTCAGCTCCCATCATCCGCAGCCAGAAGCGTCGGTGGTCAGGGATGATGGGTGTTGTAGTGCAGTAAATTGTAGAGGACACCAAGTTGGTGAGGGCAGGTATACCGTGTCTACCTCTGCCAGACATGTACTCTTCAGTGTGGTGTAGTGGTTAAGAGTGATAGACTCATAATCTGATGAACCGGGTTTGATTCCCCGCTCCTCCACATGCAGCTGCTGGGTGACCTTGGGCTAGTCACACTTCTCTGAAGTCTCTCAGCCCCACTCACCTCACAAAGTGTTTGTTGTGGGGGAGGAAGGGAAAGGAGAATGTTAGCCGCTTTGAGACTCCTTCTGGTAGTGATAAAGCGGGATACCAAATCCAAACTCTTCTTCTTCTCTTCTTCTCCTAAGGAACTGAGTAAAATGGAATTAATACAGCTGAAACACTTCTCCTCTGCCCCAGCTTATGCGTGCGCACACATAGTTATTTTTCCATTCACAAATCACCTTTAAAGAGGCAAAAGACTGCGTGAATATCCTCTAAACTCCTTTATATAAAGGACCGATAGGTACATGGTTGCCCAGTGACAGCTACAATGGAGGCCTGGCTGCCCATGAGTCACAACGAAAGAGGGTTTAAGAAAAACCAAATTGCTGCATTTATTGGAGTCCTACTGGTGCTGTTACATTCTGCAAAGGGTCCAAGAACAAACAGAAATGCCACTTTGGAAGTCATATTTCTTCGAATCATTGTTTTACTAATTGCATCGCAGGGTGTGAAATCATTTTAATGCTTTCTGTATTTGAAAATCTCATTACCAGGATTCAATTGAGCGTGCATGATACAACATACATGCACTCATTTCAATTTAACCTTTGAGGTGTTTATATGTGATTTTTTATTTATTTTTAAAAAACCAGCACTACAAGTTATCATGTGGTTGTTCAGAGATGCCTATGCATCATTTCTGGGACACTTATGGAAATGTTCCAATGACATGGAATCTCATCGCCGACTTACAATATCCCCCACTGTATCTGCTTTGGAACAAGCAAGCATTGATTTTCATTTTTGACAGCAATAACAAAACCCTATGTAGAAAAGTAAATGCAGCAAAGCCACTTGGCTCAATCACATATCCTTGTTAAAAGCCTTTCCTACCTCCTTTTGCAGGAGCAATATTGCACTAGTTCAAAGGAGACAGGGTTGACTCCACACTCCTTAAGATGTGATGCACGGCATGCTGATAGAACTATTTGTGCAGTCAAGTGACAGCACTCAAGGATCTTTTATTCGGTGTGGATCCTTCATCGGTCCAGGGATGAGACTCTTTCACACATTTTATTGATTCACTGATTCCTAGCTGTGTGCATTAGAATAGCCCCATGCACTCTCTTTCTCTCACACACAGACACATTCTGCTAGCATAGTCACTTAGTTGCACTGGTTGAAAGGAGACATAACAATATTTTGGTTTAAAAAGAGGAAGTGTTGATAAAGTTTTACAAGAGTTTTTACCTCTCCCAGCTACTCTTCATCGTTATTTATTCTTATACCTCAATTGCTGCACAAAAGTTAAAAGAGACATGACGTTACCCATATGCTTACAGTCTAATAAATCTTACTACCCAAAAATTGCTCATGTATGCCCAAGTCTACTTGCAAGCCACGCAAAAGTTAAATGTTAAACACAAGAGTGCTTTGCAGATGTGACAAAAAATGGAACCTAAAATATAACCCACTATGGATACAGCTGTTGGGAATTGTACAGTTTATTTGTTCCGTAAGCCTGGATTTAAAAAGATGGAATATAAATGCAATAATCATGATGATGATGATGTAGCACATTTTATCTTTTTGCCAAATATGTAATGAACAATATTGGATCATGGTGGAGCCATTACCCTTTCAGTTCTCAGGTGTGTGGCAGTTAAGAGGTACATTGTTGTTAAGAGTGTCATGTAGACTGCTCTCAGGTGCTATAATCTGACAACAAGCCACTAATAAGCTCCTTCCTCAGCCCTCACAGTTTATTGTTTTGCCTGACAAACTTGTTTAATTGTAACTATGGTTTGTTTGAAAAAGCCAACTTCAAACTATTGATTATGCTGTTGGTTTGTTTCAACCAACCATAGTTCAGATTAACCATTTGTTTAGGGTTCAGACATAACATTACATTGCGGTTTTAAAAAATGAAATTAATGTTTGTGAATCCCTCCTCTTGACTGGGCTGGAAGAGGGGAAAGAGAGCACTTGAGCCCAAGGCTTGCTTCAGCTCATTCCCATCACAATGAATTGTTATTTTTAATGATGTCCAAGTGCAGTCTGATGATTTATCATGATGTCAAAATGAGAACTCATTGTACTAACAGGAGAGTGATGGAAGTTACTTTTTAAAAAAATAGGTTTGATAAATAAATCTTAATTATGTGACCTAATAAAGAATCCATGAAAGCCCTGGACTTATATGTCTATCATAGGGAAGTTGCGTGGTTTTATCGAGCAAAATGTGTTTTCTCTCCAGGTTGCTGAAATTATGACATTATTGGCATGAAAAGCCTATTATTATTATTTTGCTAAATCCAAAATTAGTGGCTCTGACTTTTTAAAAACAGAACTGAATTTAGTATGAAAGGATACAGATAAAATTCACTTAGATACAAAATCAAAATGCTTTGTCCTGTCACATTTGTGACAGAACCTTATTTTTCAATGCACACTGCTTACATTGTGAGCTGTATTTCTGTTAATTGTGGCCTAAAAATACCAAAGGCATCAAACTCAGTATTAAAACTTTCCATTTTTTCTTACCCAGAAATTGAGGCGAAGGAGGCCTGTGACTGGTTGCGAGCTGCTGGATTCCCACAGTATGCACAACTGTACGAAGGTAAGTTTTGGGGGCAATGTGACAACTGCTCCATTTTTCTCAAATTGTAGGGGTAGTCTTCTTGGTGGGGAGGGCATCATGTTCAATTCAGTGCCTCAGCACTGAACCAACAACATTCACCATCTTCCAAAGCAGATAGAACAATCTTTTTAAGACTTCATCCAGGCAAAACAGAGTTACTGTTTTGGTCAATAGGGGAAGCAATTCAGGGTACAATCCTATTTTGTACTTTCCTTAAAGACCATGTTCTCAGTTTGGAATGCTTGTGGACCCTGTTTTGCTTCTGGGGAAACAGGTAGTCGCAGGACCAGATTCAGACCATGGAAGCCCCTAAGCATTTAGAAGATTTTGGTGGCCCCTATATAGATCTAATTCAAAATATAAACAATAATAAACTTTAAAATAAAAGTATGTTTTTTAAAATGATACAAAACCTACAGTATGTTATTCTCTTGTTAATTAAGCATATTTTATATTTGACTTCCCTTTGTAATGTTTTCTTTTGAAATAAATTTGCTGTGATAAATGTGCATTCTGTAGTTGATCTCCTTTGTCATGTTTTATTTTGAAATCTTGAAGGTAACATTTTAGTTCCCTGATAATTGTGTTGCCTTGAATGTATACTTTATATTTGACTTCCTTCAATAATGTTTTATTCTGGATTATTTTATTTGATGTTTTGAACCGCTTTGAGATTTTTTTTCTTAAAAATATATAGTGGTATAGAAATGAACTGACTAATAATAATAATCTTCGCAAATTTCAGCTAGTGAAAAATAAGGCATCCAATAATTTTATTGTTTTTTCCCCTCTTTGTAAAATGTTTTGAGGCTTTTTTTTTTTTTACAATCAAGAGGTGTATAAATTTTATGAATCAAATACATAAACATTACTTACAAATCCCTAAATGCTTTGGGGCACGCAGTTTGAAAGACCTCTTTCTCCCACCTACTGTATTTTTCTGTGTTTTTTTCCTTAAAAATAATGTCAAAAATTAGGGGGCATCTTATATGCAGATAGTGCTGAGGGTGTAATGGTGACAATCTTGAGTCCCCAAAAATAGGGGGCGCCTTATACATGGGGGCGTCTTATAGACGGAAAATGTGTCAGTTCATCAGGAGGCCCTCTGTGAATCCCATTGCAAATACGAAGTCTGTTTGGTTGGGATACAGGCAGCGGCGTAGCGTGGGTTGTCAGCACCCGGGGCAAGGCAAGTAATTTGCGCCCCCTAACCCGTGGATTTGCGCCCCCTAACCCTACAAATCTATGCCTATGAATGATGGTCCCTCTCTCTCTCTCTTTCTCATATTCCAATTGATTCCCATTTCCGCCGATCGATCCCCGAAGCTCTCACCCAGCGAAATTCGTGCGTAATTACGCTTCGCCATCCCTAATCCTGCCGCTTCCACCGGGAAATCATGACGGTGCGTTTCTCCTCTCCAAACTTTCCCCGGCCCTTAGCCGGCCGGCGCAGCCCTTTTGGCTACGAGCTCCCCTCCTTCTCTGCCCGCTTCTGACCCCACCTCCCCGTCCAGCCTCCCTACCTCCTGAAAAAAGGCGCCGGCGCCGAGCAGGACACCCCCGCGGCCATCGGAGAGAGGCGGGGCCGAGGGAGGCAAGCCAATGGGCGAGGCGGGGGTAGGTGGCCACGGGGGCGGGCGCTGCCGCAGTCCTCGGGTGGGCAAGGTAGGAGCAGGCGGAGGCTGGCCGGCCGCTGTGACAATAGGGGCGGGCCGAGGGCACGACGGGGCTGGGCCCTCTGGACTCGCGCCCCCCCCAGATGTTGCGCCCGGTGCGGCCGGCACCCCTGGCACCCCCCACGCTACGCCACTGGATACAGGACCAGGTGTTTTCTGCTGTGACACCAAGGTGGTTGGCCCCTTGTCCATTAGCGTATTGACTGCTTCCCAAAACCTTTGGTGGTTTGCTTTAGTCGCCCCACATTCTGCCATTGCAATACCTGGTTTCTGGTATTGTTTCACAGACTGTGTATTATTAATTTTTGTGAACCACCTTGGGGGATCCTGGCAGGGACTGACAGGTGGGATATACTTTATAATATACAGTAAGGCTGGGAGTTCATGATGCTGTGCTTCATTGCTGTGTGAAGAGAGCGTTTGTCTCGGCTGATAGTTGGTTATAGTTTTAAGAGCTGTGTGGTACAGCAGGGGGCGCTCTCTTCAAATGACTTTTCCAAAAAAATGTAACGTTACACTTTTAAAATTAAAGACAGCTGAGTGGAGGTGGAGTGTTGTGACACTTGTTGTTAACAATGTCACACCTTTTGTCTTGTTGGTTTCCATGTTGGACTATGAAGGGCTACATCTGGACCTTTAAACAAATGATGTGCCAACCACACAATCGGAAATTGCACAAATGTTTTTTGTTTGTTTTTTAAAAGTAATACGAGGTGCAGGGAGTTGGGGAGGACACAATCTGGACTGGAACCTTAGTGTGGTGGTTAGGAGGGCTTTAAAACCCTTTGCCCTCCACCCTGCAGACTTTGCCTAAATCAGAGAACCCACAGCTGTATTGGAAGAAAATCCCCCAGTTGCCCAAATGCAAGTTTTTTTTACAATGCAAAAAGAAATGCGTTGATTTGGATTGTGGTTGCATTTAAGGAGAGAAGATGAAAGCCTCTCACCAGGGTCACCATAGCAACACACTCTTCTTCACTTTTTTCCACTTTTTAAAAAGCCATTCATGTAGTTCATCAGGTTTGGCCCTGAGTCACAAACTGCAATTCTTCACTCATAATGCTACTAAGTGGTTTGTCTACAAGTCTGTGAAAAAGGGAAAGACTTGTGTCAGGGGCTCAGGGGCAGAGCAAAAGGGGAAAGAGGAGTTGGAGAGCGAAGGGGAGGAATCTGAGGGGAGCTTAGGAGGGTATGACAGTGACCCGAGAGATTCCATGAGTCTCTCCAGCGAATCAGAAGATTCTCAGAAAGAGGCGCCCAGGGTCAGGGCAAGGGGGGCCAGCGGTGAGTCCCCAAGCGGCAGCTGGAGATCAGGGCCAGCTTCCCTGCCAGAGCGTAGCGGGGGGGAAGAAGCCCACAGATCAGAACCGGAGTCCACTCCAGCAGGGAGAGAGAGAGAGTCAGAACTGACCACGCCTCCGTCGGAGAGTGGAGGGGCGGAGCGGAGGTCAGTTCCAGCCAGCCCCTCCGAAGGAGGAAGCAGTGACAGGAGCAGTGTAGCCGTCAGGAGGAAAGTGGCCGGCTGGGCGCGCGCGTCAGCAGAAAATCCGGATTGGGAGCCAGGTCCCAAAGCCCGCCGGAGACAGGGGGAGGAGTCAGAGGAATCCACCTCCGAAGAGTCCAGGAGGGGTGGAACCCCAGGGGGCAGGAGGACCCAGAGGAGAAAAGAGCAGAGGAAGAGGTGGAGCAAAGCTCGGGTGTTAAACTGGTGTAGGGGAGGGGAAGAGTCAGACGAAGCTTCGACGGTCTAGAGTTACAGACGTAGGGATGCGCGCCACGGATGTAAAACCAACAATGAACTTCAATAAAGACTTTTGTATATAAAGAGACACTGGCGTTGGTCCTTTGTGAGCTGGGACCTGAGGCACCCCTGACAACTTGTTATATTTCTGTTTAAAAATAAAAATAGGTTAACAGCTTTCATATTATTTGTGTTGTTAGCCACTTAATGAAGGGAGTGGGTTTTGGACTACAATTCCTATCATCCCCAGCCAGCATGGCTAAAGGTCAGGGGTGATGGGAGTTGTAGTCCAACAATATATGGAGTGCACCAAGTTGGGGAAGGCTGGAATGGTCAACAACAACTGTAGTACTGATCAGTATTGCTTTGTTATTAGGAGACTGAAATATAAACCATCTGATTTCTTACTGTAGTTGGATGATGACATGCTGATGTTACCTTAGTTGACACATTTCAACAACTCCATTTGAACTTGGAAAAGGAAGTGATTTTATCAGAAATTAAATGTGGAGGACATTTTGGTTTTCCCCTTATGTTTGCAATTTAGTCTGGCATCACATTCAGCTCCTCTTGGAAGAAAACGTGTTTCCCACTCCAGTAACAGCTGCTTCTTCTCTTGTAGATTCCCAGTTTCCTATTGACATTGCTGCTGTAAAGAAAGACCATGATTTTCTTGACAAGGATCTTGTAGAACCTCTTTGTAGGTAAAGTGCATTTTTAATTCTTGTTGTAATTTATTATGATGTTTGTAGCGCTGCAAAGCATGCAGACAACATTGTTTCGTGTATTATCCCTCCCTCCCAACAACATCTCTGTGTAGGTGATAAGGCTAAAGCCAGGTTGGGAGAGAGCCTGGTTTGTGTGCTAGAGTACAGTGGTACCTCTACTTATGAACGTGATCCGTTTCGGGGAGCTGTTCGCACCCCAAAAAGTCCATAAGTAGAGTGCCTCTACTGTGCGTGCGTGAAGTATGATAAGAGTGCATCTGCGCATGCGCGAAGTGCACAGATCAATTCTGTGCTTGTGCGCGCAGCGAACCCAGAAGTAAACACTTCCAGGTTTGCCGCATTCGTAACCTGAAAAGCCGCAACGTAAAGCAAACGTAACACAAGGTATGACTGTACTCTTTTCAGCACCCCACTTTTCCTCCATCCAAGATGGCAGGCCCACCTTTGCTGCCTTGTGGGATTAATCAGCCAGGGTAGGAGTTGCTGCAGCAAAGGGGTAGCCAGAAGTAGAGTTAATTACCCCTCCTGACTAAAAGTTCTTTGCTGAGAATCATACCCTTCCTACGCATACTCTTAGGTAAACCATTACCATTGACGTGGCCAAGAGCATTTCCCCAAAGCCATTGTGTCTTGCTGTAAAGGAAACTTAATCGTTGCAGAGTTGCCCTGATGCAGGAGACCTCCTGTATTGCTGCAAGCGTACCCTGGGCACAGCCCTGCATTTACTGCCTGTGACCCTGACATGCCCTTGGCCAAATTCCTTTGCAGCTGCTCAGTAACAGCTGCAGACTGGAGTCATAGGGAGTTAGGATTCTGATCAATTTTAAGGTGTCAGAAAATAACAAGGAAGAAGGGCAAAAAGCCACCCAGAAGGCAGCCCGGTTTTGGGAGATTTTACTCTACAACATTGTTATATTTAGTATGGGCCATGTGGCTTTTGAGAGTGGACAAAGAGTCTAGACATTTTCCTCTTCGATCTCAAGGCTTTTCTGCAGTAGAAAATATGAATATGTTCTAGGTCTTATGGCTAATACATGCTCCCAAGTTTCTTTTTAAAAAAACACAACACTTTGAGCATTATTTATGAACGGGTACACACTGGCATGGCTGTAGCTTCTACTGGCAAAATGCAGGCAAGCAACAATCTCAATCAAAGTTGGATGGCCATCTGTCATGGATGCTTTAGCTGAAATTCCTGTATTGCAGGACTAGATCCTTCCCTTCCAACTCTACAGTTCTATGATTCTATGAATCAGGGCCCCTGCTCATGTTGCATTTTTCACAATTATAATGAATTGTTGCTATTGATGCATATTTTTGTACTTGTGGGAAACAGCTTCCAACAGAGTACAAAACGTAACACACAAAAGCAAGCTTTCGTCATTGATCAAAATATCATTAACTATTGTTTCTGGGCTTGGAATCACTCTTGCCAAGGTTTTGACTCTTATTCCAATGACAGATGTACACAGATGGAGAATTCTGTCTTCTGCCATTGGCACGTCAAGAGGGTGCGAGAAATCCAGGCAGGCTGTATTTAATTGGAGACTCTGGAGACATAAAGACAACCATTAATCCTTTCATTTCATTGGAACAATCTGTTTCAAATGCTGGAAGGACCCCAGAAGATATGTCATCATCTTTCTGCTTTAAAATGTGGATAGCTAAATTAGTAAGCGGGAAATCGGTCACAGACTTCACAAAAAATGTAACCTTGAGTCTTAAGGAAAGGAGTTATCTTTTAAGGAAAATATTGGAGCAAAATGTGGACAGGAAACTATTGCTGTTTTCAAGTAGATGAGAACTTTATGAGATTAGTTCACTGATAATAGTGACACCATTGATGGGGTCTATAGAAAACAGGTTATTTGATTGAAAGCTCTGCAGACCATGGTTATACCATAGAACTCTTGCAAGAGCAAGGAGCTCTTTTGCTGAAGCTACATAGAGCTGAGGTCAGAGTTAAACGATAATGCTTTTTGTGTGTGCATGTTAAAAGTGGTTTGAGAGAGACCTAATTGCCTGTGGCGTGCAGCTTATCCTATTATCACCTCTAATAAACAAATATTTTCCCGATCCCCCCAGGTTTATAGTGTTTCTAAAATCTACAAAATATTTTGACTAGAAATACAACAGGAATATGTATACCCCAAGGACAACTATGGGGTATACATGCCATTCTTCCCTAATATTGCCTGTTTCCAATATTGAGTTTAGTTTAAGAGGTACCATAGAAATTATGAGTGGTGTTGTTGTTTTTTTAAAAAAGTCTTGTTCTTAAAAATAAGTCCAACTGCAATCTGTGAACTTTTGTTCATGTTTATTGTTTCGTATTGTAGTGAGAAATTAGAGGTACAGACAATTATTTCATTATTAAGATAGATAGAGCATTGCTGCTAATTTCGATTTCCCGTTGCAGCCCAGTGTTTATTTCATTTTCTTTCTAATACTGAGATTGTGTAAATGCCCTTCAGATTATGACAATCTATAAGATTCAGGCAGGTGGGCAGGGGTATTTATTATTTTTATTTATTGAATTTATATACCGCGCTGTACTTGAAGGTCTCAGGGCGGTTCACAGAATAAATTCAAACTATAAAACCACAAAATGTGCGGCTTCCAATTGGCTGCAGCAGCTTCCTGCACTCAGTCGGAAGCTACGGAAGCCGCTTAGGACGTTTGGCTTCCAAAAAACGTTTGCAATCCGGAACACTTACTTCCGGGAGCCAATTTGTTCGGGAGCCAAGTCATTCGACAACCAAGGTACCACTATATGTACATATTTCTGTACCCCAGTCTTGTGGATAGGAATTAGCACTGCATATTTCACTACCAGTCTATCTTTACAGGAAGTTGTTTGAAGTTCGGTCCATAAGGAGAGAGAATGGGAGAAATGTGCAAGGTCGTAAAGGGCCAGTTGATTCATGAGATGCTAATCTTTGGATTTTGCCTTTGCTTCTAGACGTCTGAACACACTGAACAAGTGCGCCTCAATGAAACTCGATGTGAACTTCCAAAGGAAGAAGGCAAGTAACTATGGATTTGGAAAGGTCTCTGTAGTCCAGGGCTTTTGAAACCTCCTAAAATTACATCTAAGATTGATCTCAGTCTTAAACACTTAAGCGCTAATACCCCGTGAACTAGTCTGGCTTGTTGTTTATTTGGCATTGTTTAAAGTGTCCTGTTGTAAGGAAATGTAAGTGCTGAAGTTGTTTGATGCCAGACCATGAGAGGAGAAGATTATAACTAGCCATTGCCTTGCATCACATGGCAAATTAAAATTTACCAGACGGACGCACAGATTCTGCACACATAACGCAACAGCACTGGGTCGAAAGGAACTCTTTGACTTCAGATGAAGGCCCTACATCATTATTATAACCCCCATAACTATGTGACAGCTATCTTTCTAAAACACACCAGGAAGCAACCATCAAAGAAACTGCCAAAAGGAGAGGCCACATTTTAAGACGCTGAAAGAACTTACTTACAGCCTAATGCATTTCGGTCAAAAGGGTTCATCCAGGCCCTTTCAACAAACAGGAGTACAATACTTATGCAGTAGTAGTAACAGTTGTAGTAATAAATAAAAAAAGCATAATGTCAATGTTAAATATACCAATAGTCTGAAAAGCACCCCAAGAGCTTTTTAAAAGCAATAAACATGCCAAAATAAAGTTACAAAAATGTGTACAATTAAAAAAGCTTACTCATAAAACGCTTTACAATAAACATGCGTATCTGCAGCTATTTGAAACTATATTACTCAAATATACCTTACAGGTATCTGGACAACATCTTCTTAAACCATTCAAATGCAGTGGCGCAGGCATATCTCACACTAAAATGCAAATGTGTGGTCTTCTTGTAAAGAACATATTGGTTACAAACATTTTTGACAGCCAAGGATCATCACCAAACGCCCAGCTTAAGAGGCACACTCAGGGAGTGTCAAGAAAAAGCACATAATTGTATTTCTGATGGAGAATTGAGCTGTTGCCAATGTCTTTTAAAGCTGGGGATCATTACCAATGTCATTGCACTCGAGTTATTGAAGAAGATATCAAGGAAAAAACAACAACCATACTTTAAAATTACCTCAGCTTTCTAAGCATCTGGGTAGGCTTGCCTAAACAAGAATGTTTTTAGCAGGCGCTGAAAAGCGTACAGCTTGATTTTTCTCATCCATTTCACCGCTGCGCCCAAGCAATGGCCTAGGGACTCCACAGCCCCTCCCGATTCTGATGTTATGGAGAAACAGATCTGAGTGTTATCAACATGCCGATGGTCAACCTCGCCCTGAAACTCCTAATGACCACTCCTAATGGCTTCATGTAGATATTAAATAGAACCGTTATAAATACACATTTGTGTAACTTGGATTTCAGCATGCTTAATTTTATAGAAAAGTTACAAGCCTTGTGGTGTTTTTAAGGACATTAATATATATATATTGATATCAACACCATTGTTCTGTAGGGGACGGCACTGCACTGCTCACCTGACCTCCAGTTAATTGTGTCGCCAGTAGAGGGGGAAGGATGCAGCCGTGCTGAAGTTCACACACTGAAAACTCACCAGCACAGCCAGGCCAGTGCTCCTACTGGTGTGCTTGCGCCCTGCCAACCTCCCTGTGACCCACTGGAGGTCGGGGGAGCAGCAGTGCTCTACCATGCCATGCACGACTGAGTGTTACACATACGTTTGTTGTCTGTCTGTTAGAGAGAGCCTCTGAGTAAGGCCTCTTGGCTGAAATACATTGTGCTATTAATAAATATTCATCAGCACTTTGAAATGCCGTCTCTCTTTTTGCTGTCTTTCACTCCACTTCCTCCTGCCCTCTGTTGTCTTCTGCCCAGAATTATTCGAGAGTCTTGAACACACTTGCATAGCAGAAACTGTGGGAGAGAGACTTTGACAAAAGAACAGTTCTCAACAGGCTTCTTGAAATGTAAAGGCAAAATACATGTTGTTTAGTTAAGAAGGTACTTGCCTCACAGTGTTGTCTGATGCCATGTGACTATAAGACATGATCCGCTGCCAGATAAAAAGCCAATAACATTTTTCCAATTTTTGTGTGTGTGCGCTGACTTATTAAAATAAAGCTCGTCGTGTTTACAACCTCCTTGTGTAATACAGGCATTATTTAAGGCTTAAGGGGTTTCAGCAAGGAATGCAGAAAATGTCTTGTGATGTGGGGAATTTTGTAACAGAGCCAACAACCTTTTATTTACAAGGCACTCCCCTCCCAGGGGCACTTTCTAATCAGTAGTTAGCATAGTGTAGTACATTGCCTCTTGAGATTCCCATGGACTGCAAGAAGATCAAACCTATCCATTCTGAAGGAAATCAGCCCTGAGTGCTCACTGGAAGGACAGATCCTGAGGCTGAGGCTCCAATACTTTGGCCACCTCATGAGAAGAGAAGACTCCCTGGAAAAGATGTTGGGAAAGATGGAAGGCACAAGGAGAAGGGGACGACAGAGGACGAGATGGTTGGACAGTGTTCTCGAAGCTACCAGCATGAGTTTGACCAAACTGCAGGAGGCAGTGGAAGACAGGAGTGCCTGGCATGCTCTGGTCCATGGGGTCATGAAGAGTTGGACACGACTAAACAACAACAACAGTACATTGCCTTAAGAAACATTGCACACTTCTGATTCTCTCTCAGGAAGCTTAATTCTTCTCAGTGTGGTGTAGTGGTTAAGAGCAGTAGTCTCGTAATCTGGGGAACCGGGTTCGCGTCTCCGCTCCTCCACATGCAACTGCTGGGTGACCTTGGACCAGTCACACTTCTCTGAAGTCTCTCAGCCCCACTCACCTCACAGAGTGCTTGTTGTTGGGGAGGAAGGGAAAGGAGAATGTTAGCCACTTTGAAACTCCATCGGGTAGTGATAAAGCAGGATATCAAATCCAGACTCTTCTTCTTCTTCTCAGTGGTGTTACTGATGGTGGCAGTGCTTAGAATGGGGCAGGGGACAAGGGAGGATAATGGAATGGGGTGCATCCCCATTTCTTCTCGGCTGGACCTAAGATGGACGTCATTGTGTCTGGCCTAATTTGAAATGAAATACCTCCCTTGCCTCCTCACTCCCTTTCAGGACTGGTAGTTTAGGACCACAGTCTAAAACACACTTCAGATTAAAGATAAAATGTGTCTTCATAGTGCTGCAACCCCAACCCTCAGATGAGCATACCGGCAGATTGAATGTTGGCATCTGCCTTGGCCCCATCTGCCTGCTCATGCCTTCACTTGCCTATGGTTGTCTCCTCCGCCTCCTCTTCCTGTTGGAAAAAGTTAGCAAAGCGCCCTGCACCCAGGTTCCTAAATACGGAGGAGAATGTGCTGCTTCCATTTCAGACCCTCCACTCTGGAGTGCTTTTTAAAATTTATCCAGCTGGAAACAACAGCAGGAGTGAGCAGGCAGGGAGAGGTAAGACGGGTGAACGTGAGCAACTTTTGATTTGCTGGTATGCTTGTCTGACACTAGAGTTGTGGCTAAGGAAAGCACTGTGACCTGATGGCTTGTTTCACATCTCTCTTCATCGTAGGCACTTGGTCTCAACGGGCTCAGTCATTGCACCTCAGTCTTCCTCCCCTTACTCTGCTGCCTCCCTGTGTCAAATTTTAGAGTTTTAAAAAATCTAGGACAGCAACGTGTTCTTTTATTTTGTGTGTGTGTGTAACTGAAATTGCTTCTTTCTCCTTCTGAGATTAGTCACATTGATGATCGTAGCCAATCAGCAATCACCTCGTAGATAAAGGGATGCCACAATGTAGTAAGTCTTGATGTAGAGCTTGCACCCATGTAAGTGTTCATATAATTTCAAGCGTAGCCAGCCAGGGTTGACATAACTGAGAACAAGTGAAGGCAACTGAAAATGAGAACGAAAAAGATAAAAGCAAAGACCAGAAAAGCCTTATCTTACAGTGTAGATAAGGAGGCAGATATGCAAAATTGGAAAGAATGCTAGAATATTGGTAACATGGGGTGCTTTGGGATGGAGAAGGTTGCAAGTGGCATATACGCTGGATAAACATTCCTAACATCTGCAGTCCACATTATGAGATGCAGGTGTTACAGTGCAAGTCAGCTGTGCTATTAGCTACCTGGTGCCTCTTCCTCAAGATACCATTTCCCCCCACTTCCTGCTTTGTGCTACAATCCCCAACGGAAGCTGCTGTTTGGTTGTGGCCTCAGAAATCAGTTGCAGACAAAAAAACAAAAACAAAAAAAAATACGGTTAGGCAGTGACTCACAGTTATTTTATAGTTCTCTCTTCCACTGCATATCTGTAAGGATGGAAAATATCTCTTCACATAATGGTTACTGCCTCTCTTAACAACTCTATTTGCCATTTATTATGTCTGGGGCATAAAGCCAAGCAAGCACTGATGGTTAGAAAACTTGGAACAGTTATATTCCACATCTCCTTGAATGTCTCAGAAAAACAGCAGTCAATTAAGTTGCTGAATGGCCTAGCACTGAAGGCCAGTCAAAGATGGAAGATACAAATGGGTCACTGCAAGGCATTCTGGGAGAGAAGATGAGGCAAATCTGTAATCCAATAGAAATCAGTGGGGAAATTAACACATAGTTCTACATAACAAACTGTTAGCGCCTGACATTAAACTTCATTTGAAGCATATTCTTATGTTTTGAAATTCCCTTGAATTGCCCTTAAGTTATTTAGATAGACACACAGCTGCAGTTGGAATGACTGCCTTCCCCAGCTGTAGGGTCACAGCCCTTGTGAAGGAAATAATGTGGGAAAATCCATTAAGAGAGCTACACTCATGCATTCTGCTGGCACCCACATCCACCTGAGGAAACAATGTTTTCAGTTCTAGTTTTCTTCTATTTTTAACCAGCTCTAAAGATGCTAAGTATAGAACGTTCTTTCTGAGCCTTTACAATCTGGCAAACACTGTCGGCCTTCCTGAGCTAAGCCTTCAGCTCATTCATAATGGAGAGTTGTGCACACATTTTTATTACTTGTCTAGCTGTGTCTTATCCTAAAAACAG